TTTGGAGCATCTTCGTTTATCATTCTAATCCTGGAGAAGTTGGACATAGATTCTGAACATCGAAGGTTAAACTCCATACCTGCTAAAATGAAAAAGAGTGGTGAGGAGAAAAGAGAAGTTGAGACTATAATTTATAGGAATGTCATATTCTTGGTAAGCTGCGGATTCTATCCTAAGAATGGAATGATTCGCGGAAAGATTTATGCCCTTAAACCGATCCTGCATTAAAAGACGCATCTCCGAGAATATTTGAAGAGTAAGGAAAATTGCAAATATTTCCATAAATAAAAAGGGGCCGAAGCCCATTACGAGTTCAAAGTAAGTGAAGAAGTTAGAGAACATTTATGGAAGAGGCTCAGGAACAGGCTCCTTCATCGCCGGTTTAGTTTTCGAAGTGGACGCCTTGTTCTTGGCATCCACTTCGGGACGATCCCGAACGCGTTTCCGACTGGTACTAGCCTCCTCTTCGTCTTCTTCCTCGCTATCGGATGGAACGGTATGGACTGGAGCATTCACGGGACCCGGAACTCTTTTAGCATGGAGATACATCCGGAGCATCTTCGGGATCTTAGCGACATAATCAAAGTTCCGCGATTCCCATTGAAAGGGGTCACTTTCCAAAGCCCGTATCTTCCTCTCCACCCGAGCGATGCGAGCCTCGAGTGTTTGCCTTTTGAGGCCTAGCCGCTGTCTCTCTTCGCACAAGCGACGGTGTTTGTCGGCGACCTAGCATAAAGATGAATGAATAAGATGAGACAAACAGTTTTTAGTCAAAGACGACAGATATTAACCTTGTCAATAAATTCGCAAGCCTCTTTCTTCTCCTTTGAAGGAAAGTGAAAGACGGCGTGAGGGAAAAGAACGCCGGCCGGTTCAAAGCTGTCACCGGACAAGAAGAGTGGGCTGCCGGGATCAATGGGGGCTATGTTTTCGTTTTCCATTAATATGGTGTTATGAAGTTTCTTGAGGAAAGATCAAAGCTGGACAAACTCCTATTTATAATAGGGTTAAGGTTTGCCTTGGGAATGAAAATTCAATAATGGTGGCGTGCCTTAGTGGATTAAACCATTTTTGGAAAATCGAGAAAAGGCAATTATTACATTAAAGACGAGCCGCTTTTCCTACTTTCAAGAAATAAGAAGGGAAAGAGCAACCGTCGCATTAACTACAAAAGTTTCTAAGGCCCAAGCCCAATAAATTTATCGAGTTGACTAAACCCGAAATGGGGAACTCGCTTTAAGCCGAGCTCAGTTCTCGCATTCTTAAGAGAAAGGTCTGATCAGCTTAAAAATCTCGAAAGCATAACCACAAGGCCACAAAGGGTTAAAAGCGGACTTTGCAAACCCGCACATAATTTTAACCAAACCCCCTTGGGGTCAAAACCTAGAAAGGTTTAAAAGCCTCCTCAGGCAAATCTCTCGTTCAAAAGAAATAATAAAGCCTCCTTAGGCAAAAACAAGTTCGAAATTAAGTTTTAAAATAAATGGGACAATTCCCAATTTAAAGTGGACGCAGCCACTACGGAGTAACAGCCACCTCGGACTCCGGCTCGGCAGTCAAAGTTTCATTCTCCTCTTTGGTTGGTGCTTGGTCAGATGGGGCTCCTGGTCCGCCCTCCACAGTACAACCATCCTCCGGGGTGACCGCCGGTGCCGCAGGAACTTCGGGTGGGAAGACATCTTCCGTCTCACTTGAGCCTGGGAAGGACAGTTCCAGTCAATTGTTTTTTAAAAAAAAACAAAACATAAGGTGAGAAAAAGGTAGTAAGTGTCAGGAGCCAAGCGTTACCTGCCCAGTCTAGACCTGATTCACTTATAGGAGACGATTCAGTGAAGAATTCCTCGAAGTCCTGCGGATTGAAGGTCAAAGTAGGAAGAGCTGCCAAACGACTCCGCTTTTCTGAAAGATTAGCCGACAGTTCGGTCCTTTCTAGCTCCTCGGAGAAATCTGTATCATGGATTTGATCCAACAGAATCAGGTTGCTCTCGTGCTCCTTGATGTCTGATTCCAAATCTGACCTAGCTTTCTCGGTCTGCATGAAGCGGATGGCCCCTTGGATCAACTCCATCCCGCGTCCCTTAACCTCCTTTCTGGCCTTCGATGCTGACCTTGCTAACTCGGAATCACGCAACTTGGCGATCGCATGGTACTTCGCGTGAAGCTCGGTAAGTTGGTTGTTCAGGGTATCGGCGAATGATTCAGACTCATGAAGTCTACCCTGAACACCAAAAAGTTCATCCTGGAGCTTGTAATTCCGGTCATACTGGTCTTGCAGCTCCCCCTTTATCTTCGCAAGCTCGGATGATAGACCATCAACCTTGTCCTCCAAATCATGCTTGGAGTCGGTAGAAGAACGGAGTTCAGCCTCGAGATTAGAAAACTTGCTCTTCCACGTGTTTATCTCCTTCTCCCGACCAATGACCAACCCTTCGTAATGTTCAATTATGTCATTGAGCTCGTCGTTCGCCTGATATTACACATAAACCCGGAATGACGGATCAGTTCGAAGAATGACAGTGAAGTCAGAAAAATGAAGCGAAACTAACCCGAGATGAATGATGAGCATGAAGTAGGTATCGTTCACGAATTGCAGAGCGCCACTTGTTGAATTCTGGCAGGATCGCACCTGATCGGGTTTTGAAGCACCGAAAAACGTTACCCTCTTTCTCCATGGCTACGAAAGCAAAAGAGGAAAGGTCTTAGAAATTCAAAATAAGTACAAGACGAAAAGAAAAGAATACATGTATATCGTCATACCTGAGAGCGATTTGATCTGAGGAACAAGAGCAGGCTTTGTCTTCGGAGAGTCATCTCGAGACTCAGAACTTTCCTTCTGAGAAGCTGCACCCAGGTTCGTCTTCTCACCACTACGTTGAGAAGAAGATGACATATCAACAGGACGAGGAGGACCCATTGGTTCAGTAGGAGGGGACGATCGAGGAGAACGGTCAGTTCGGGCCCTTGACTTCTCTCTTCACGGAGAAGAACCACTGCGGGATGACCTATCCCTCTTTTTGCGAATTAAATCCTTAAGCGGTTCGTTGCTAAAGTCATCTCAGGAAGAACGAGGATAGTCGCGGTTAGGAGATTGGAGCCTCCGGGGAGGACGGTCATCGTGACGTTCACGTCGAGGTGTCAATCTGAAAACGGCGACGGATCTGGCTCCTTCGGTGCTACCGTCGTCAACCAATAAGGTTTTGCTATAATCTTTTTTGTCAATGGCGGTCGCAAGGAACGCCTTGTTCTCGTCACAAGCCTCAGCCATCGGCTTGGAAATCATTTTTCGCTGGCCAGTGAGAGCCCGAGCTGACATTCCCTGGGTCGAGGGAAGAGGCGGAAGACGATGAAGTTGATTGGGAGGGCTCATCCTGAGTTTTCGATTGGCTTCTATGAACCGTTCGAGAGTGAAAGAATTCCAAAGGGTTTCCTCTTCGAGGATTATTTTGAAGAAGCCAATGAATTCTTCAGTTGGTAAAGTCGGAGCGACAAAAGCTGCAAAGTGAAAATAACAAGTTTAATCAATAGGAATAATAAAATTGGAGGAATGTATGCGACCTAATTTCTACCAGGTTTCGCGGACCACTTCGATGGGAGTAGATCTGATAGACTTCCAATCGAAGCAGGGGTTTTCTTAATCAGGAACCAAGGGTGATGCCAATTTTCATCCTTGTTTGGAAGATGTGAAATGACGTTCCTGTTAGCATTAGGGTATGCCGAGAAATACCCTGTCTTCTTCGATGAACTTCTCACGCTTAGAAGCTCATTCAGCTCGGGGACCCCTATAATGTATCCGGCTTCCGCCGCTACTGTTATAATTCCGAGTATGGTTCGGAGAAGATTGGGGGTTAATTGAGGAAGAGCGATCTCGAGAACCGCCAAGTACCGAACCAGGGCTTCGGGAAGTGGGAAGGTTAATCCGCAACCCTTGAAATAAATCTCGTACACACAGAAGTAACCATCGCGATGGTTCTCTGGGGATTCTGTGGGGGCAGCTATTTGTGCTTCCGCCATAATTTCTGGCGGAATTCGGCAAAGCTCTCTCAACCGCTCGAGGGATTGAAGAGTACAAGTGGATCTATAGTGCGGACCGGCAATATCATTAGGGCGAGTGCATTCGTCATTACTAGAGCGCCTATCGTCGAATGACGGAGATTCGGGCCTTTCAGAATCAGAAGTCATTGGGGAAAATGAAAGGTTCGAGATCCGACGAAGAGAAATTTGGCGAAGGAAAAGAAGAGAGAAGTTTCGAATAAAGTGCAAATGTAAAAGTAGAAAATGATGATGAAAAAAAAGTTACGTTACACAAGCTAAATGATGGAACCGCCTCGGAAGTTGTGTGGGAAGTGAGAAGGTTTTTCCCGTTTTAATAGTAATTAATTAATATACGGTCATAATGATGACAGATGTCACTCGGGTAAAAATGGCTAGTACCGAAATTAAAGGAGTGATGAGATTTTCGGCGGGAAATCAGAAAGATTCTCGAGCGCAATTTTTGGTCATTTAAGCATTTAAAGTCCTCCGAATTGGAATGGCACTTCGAAGAACTTGGGGGGCTAATTGTTGGTGTCGGATCCCGCACCAGAGGTCCAGGACCAACCAAAGATTGCCACGTAGTCAGGATAACGGCCCATAAAGGATAAAGCAATTATACCCACAAGTCAAAAGAACAGTCGAAGTGGTTATCACCGTAAGGAGAATCCGAAGTGACTACACCTCGACACGAGGCCGGAGACGAAGTAATGGTTAAGTCAGTCCAAGGACATTTTGGCCAAAAGGCGAGGCCCATGAAGATCAGAATTCAAACGTTAAGCATTAAAAGCAAATTCAAACGGACACATTTAAGAGAGAATAATTGTACTTAATTAGCCACTTAAATGTCGTTTTTCTATGTATAAATAAGAAGGCCAATGGCCATGTATGGGGATCGTTCTTTCGAGCAAGAAATACTATAGCAATTTTTGTAACAATTCATAAGCCTTTTACATATTTATTTTTGTCCCTCAAGAATAATCTTTCCTACTTAATAAAAATACTTGAGTGTGCGAATCCAACATCCACACCCCTGGGCTTCGTTGCTGGTAGGAACAATCCCTCTTGGACCAGCAGGTGTGCCATGCTCAGGGGAGACATCGATGGCTCAAGACGACTCTCTTCTTCAGGTAATCTCTCTTCATTCTGGTTCTAGTAAGACTTCTTGTTTGCTCGTCACAACATCGGACCACGCTATTCTTGTACCGCCGCCAGTAAAGATTTCGATGAAGCTGAATCCGGTGCAAAACCAGCAACCTTTCTCGGCCAGCCGCCATGAGCTAAATCCGTCAACTCCCAATGCGAGATTAGGGTTTCCCCAAGTGGGCCCTAAACCTGAAATTGGCCCATTAAGGCTTCAGCCTCCCAAGCCCATAAGGTGTGTGTCCATTCATTATTATCATAACCCCAAGCCTGACCCAATTTATTTTCTGCCAAAACCTTGTCGATGGCTGTGTGATTACAAACTCAATGGTCGAGGACTCCATCTGAGAAGTAATTCACTGTCGTTTCTATGGCTTTGCTTTAACTATATGAGAACCGTGGCTTTAGTTTCCCTTATGTCTATGTTATGCGAACCTCAATCCTTAAAGTTTTATGGCTTTTGTGTCCCGACTCCAAGTTGTCAGATTTTTGATTGCGATCTTGGTTTACCTACGGTCAACCATCACTTCATGGCAATCCTAGCAATCAACTTTAAGCATCATAGCACCAACATCCTTTCCTGAAACCTTGTTCGAATCCTTGCCAAAGCCATACTTCGTGTAGTTCTTCTCGTGCCGGCGAGATCTATGTCTTTGGCTTCTTCTTCAACGTCATTACATCTTTTGATACTGACCATTATCTCATCCACTGATTTGTTCGTGGAACAATTGTCAACAATCTTTGATCTCACATGCAGGGCCGGCGCAGAGGGCAAGCCACTGAAACCACCGATTTGGGCTTCAAAATGTAAGGGCCTTTTTACTTAAAAATTTGTTAAGTTTTCTTATATACAATAATTTTTGTAGGGCCTTTTAAAAATATTGTGGGTGTTTAGAGACAACTACAACATTCTTTTTAATGGTAAAAATCTAATTTAAAAGAAATTTTTTTTTATGGGCTTTAATTTTGCTTAGGCACCCAAATTTATCGGGCCGGCACTGCTCACATGTACCAAATCGCCTCCAAGAGTTTGGCTCAAAGCTCTTATGGAACCATTGTTGATGTACTTTATCTATCTGTTTGTTTACCTTTGTGTGGCATTGGGAAATGCCCTTCTTTGTTGTATTTTAAACTTTGGGATTTCAGTATCCTTTTATCTTTGTACTTGGTTTCTTTCTTAGTTGAATGAAAACAAGTCTTTGTCCAAAAAAAATAAAAAATAAAATTAAAAAAAAACAATGTAGTTATAGTTGATCTTCAATACACACTACATCGAACTAAACCTTAAAAACTACACTCTAAACCCTAAATATTAAATTTGAAGCTAAACTTTGAAATACACAAAGTTTATTTACGTACATCTATCGATAGTGACAGACTTGAATGTAACAAGTTTATGTATATCTTTTTTTTTTTTAAATACTAGGAGGTTCTGGAGCAAAGCCTGTTATCCTTCCATGACCGAAACCAAAACATGTAATATTACTAGCTATATTAGTTTCGTCCCGAGCGTCATGCACTATTATGTAACTTTTAAAGGTATAATCGTAATTTGTTTTCAGTTTGACAAAACATGCAAACATATCTCTTCTTTTCGACAAACGTCGTAACAAAATGTTTTTTTCTTTATGGTGAAGAGGATTCAACGAATTCTTACAAAAAAAACGAAAATGATCGATTGGGATTAATCAGTCGTCGTCGGTTTGACTTTATTTGGAACCACTAATGTTTCTGCTTATATTTGGACCTCACGTACAGCGTCAATTCCTACGAAAATTTAGCCCGAAACATATTATAAAGCCTTTATTAAGAAATTATGATCGTCAACATCTAACATATATAAGACAATTCTTAATAATGGATAATGGCGAATAGAAATATAAAATATCTAGTCTTAGCCGACAACTATCAGCATCCTATATCTCTATTGTACACTTCGTGTATGTATATTGGTCTCAGTAAGTAACATTAATACAATAATTTAGATTCATATTTTTATTTTTGGCTCAGCTCAGAGACGTGTTTGATCACCAGCAGCCTCCTACCAAAAATCGTCGCGGCCTCTTTTCCCTGTAGAATCTTCTATATATATGATCATGAAGTTTTTATTCTATCTTTAGTATTAAATAGAAGTATTTATATCATTATCAAAATTTTGAAAGAAGTTACAAAGGGCAACTAGTAGCGGAAAAGACTAAAATACTAATGATAATTAAATTATTTAAGGTATGCAAGACATATGTATATCAGTATATGATTATGAAGTTGTTTTGGCCTTTTGGATTCATAAATCGAAAACTGTTAACAGTGTGTATCTTGGTGAAATCACTTGGTGGAGATTCTAACATGAATCAAAGATGAAATGTTACTTTGGGAGATATATTTTTTATTGATTTTGAGAAACCAGCCTTCTCTGGAAAATTAAAAAATTTTAGATTTCTCTATTCTTTTATATATGAATATATTTTCTCAAACAACCAGTTAATTAATTTTGGATTGATTTTAAATAATATCAGTTTATTATATCATGAAACTAACGTAACTAGTGAGTAAACCATGCATGTTCAAAATATTAACAAAAAAATTCGAAAGTGTTGAGTTTTGTTTTTCATGAGATTGTCCTAGTCAATTGCTCGATCGCTCTGTTCTTCTAACGAATGTCATATTTTACTTCAATTTAAGTATCTTTTGGCTTTAATTTTATTGAGATGAATTACAACATTATTCAGATGACATTTTTAGTAATTTTGGCTCTAAAACTTTAATTTTTAGCAATTCATCTCTATTGTTTCATTAAACAAATTGCATACAAAATAGTACAAATTGTTTTAACCTTGTCCATTGTGCATAGAGAAAAAAATTTGGAGGTTCCGGATTCACACCCCTAACCGACTACCATATTCAGACAAACCCCGAATCATGCAGGGTTTTAATGTCTTCCTATTTTATGCATTAGGGTATCTTAAATTCAAAAATATTCAAATATAACAATTTTTTCGAGTGTGTGTCGAGATATTTGGGTGTGTCTCCCATGGCCGGGATCAGCTTGATATAAATACATAGACTATAACTACACTGGAAATTTATTACCCAACCTGACGTATAGAAGCCGTCAAGTAAAATGGCTACGAGCCAATGCAAAAGAAATCTAAATAACTTTTGCACTGCAGCACTGGGGTCATCCACGACCTCATGATGGTGGTGATAATAACAGCATTGACATTAATACTTATATGAATGCAATGAATCAAATATTTTCTTAAATATAAAATGCTTTACAAAAAAGATTTTCCAAAAAAAGTTTCATGGTTCTACGTAGGTACATGCATATAGGGAAAAAATGGTCAAATTTTTTATATATATATAGATAAGCGCAAATAATTACAAATATCTATAAATTAATAATTAAGTATACGAAATCAAGTTGGTCCTCTTGACATCCTCCTAAACCCCTATAAATACCTACACCTTCTCTTCATTTATATTCATTCAATAACCATCAAAACACCGAATATATCTTTGAGAAAACAAGAATGGCTTCAAAGAACTCAGCCTCTCTTGCTCTTTTCTTTGCTCTCAACATCCTCTTTTTCACCTTAACCGTTGCAACTAATTGCAACTGCAAGCCAAGTCCTAAACCCAAGCCAGTCCCAAGTCCTAAACCCAAGCCGGTCCCATGTCCTCCTCCAGTTCGTCCTTCGGTCCCAACTCCATCAGTCCCAAGTCCTAATCCTAGGCCGGTCACACCTCCAAGCACCCCTGGTTCATCTGGAAACTGCCCTATAGATGCTCTCAAGCTCGGTGTATGTGCAAATGTCCTAAGCAGTCTACTTAACATCCAGTTGGGTCAGCCATCAGCTCAACCATGTTGCTCGCTTATCCAAGGTTTGGTTGACCTCGACGCTGCGATTTGTCTCTGCACTGCTCTTAGGGCTAACGTTCTTGGCATCAACCTTAACGTTCCAATATCTCTCAGCGTTCTTCTCAACGTTTGTAACAGAAAGGTTCCGTCCGGTTTCCAATGTGCTTGAACGATACCAGCTATGCATACGATGCGATGCCCGTACACAATATACTCTTCAAAATTACTACAGTTTGAATAAATGCATGTAATCTAGAGTTATATGAATCTTGATTTGTTAAAGATAAAAAACAAATGTGTGAGATTTTTATAGTTTTTTTTTTTTTTGTAAACGTCGTCCCCCGCCGTCCAGGCTTGTATGCTTTTGTTGCAATCTATTTTTGTTTCAACGAAATTTTAGTGAAAGAAATTTCGTAACCAACGTCTCATTTTCAAATTCTTGCATTTAGATTATTATTACAATCTTCACATTGCTGTAGAATGCTATTTTTTTCTTCGAGCTGATTTCTAGTAAAACAACTCTTGATCTTTGTGAGATTTATAGCATAACCGGGATATTGGAAACTGGTTAATTCTGTATTGAGGTAGTCTCTTATTCGGATGGAGGGTTTGATATCATAAGAATTTGATATAAAAGCATGTAACTCTGCTTCTTCTTCCCCTGTTTTGAAACTTTATCATCTCGAGTTCAAGATCTTGTAGATTTACTCATGTTGTAAATTAGATAGTGAATTACTAGATCTTCTAGCCGAGACACAGATATATCTCAACTCGAATATCCTGAACTCGTAAATTGACAAAATATTTTTCTCTTTCAATTTCTCATATAATTCCGTTTTCTCATTTGTATCGAGCCAAGTTATAAATCCGCATATCAAACTTTGTATGAACATTGAACACTTAGAATTGGATGATCAGAGCTTTAACGAATGGTTTTTTTTTTTTTATAACGGGTTTATAAGATTCATACAAATTTTACCAAAAAATAATAATAATAATATTCATACGAATTGAAAGTTTCCGTTCGGGTTGTATGACTCGCGAGTCATGATGATGTGAATGTGAGTTACATTAAGCTCAATGACAGAAGCAAATGGATGAATGTGGGGACACTGGGGATTTTGGAGTCTTGCAAAAATAAATACAAATATAGTCGCAAAGATGAGTCAGAGAGATCAAAGATGGTTAACACTACGAATATATAATCTAGAATCTCTAAGTAATGAAATGATTAATATTAGTTAAAGAGGAAAACATTAATTCAAGGACGCATATATTGTAACACGGTTTTTTTTCAATAAATTTTACATTTATTCAAAAAAAAAGTTAAGAGGAAAACATTACCAAATTATGAGCATAATAATTTACTTTTTTAAAAGTTTTAATCCTTTGATAATTATTAATTATCTACCATATATTACTTTCTACTAAAATTAAGATATAGTTTTTTCTTTTTTAAAAAAAAAACTCATCATGACAGCTATTTTTAATTGCTAAATTCAAATATATAATTTAAACGTATTTATAAAATTATATAAATGTGGATATTATTCATAAATTTTTCATTTTATATATTTATTTATCTGAAAAAGCAATATATGTCAAATACGTAGAAAATTATAAAAGAATATGCTTCTTAAAAATATTTCGAAGACCTTGCTGGAAAGATAACTATTTCAAATATCTACAATTAAAATGAACGTGACGTTTAATCGTGTGATATGCTAAATACGAAAAGTATTAATTAGCTGCCCAATCAAATTACATGCCCTCTTTAACAATTTTCTTGTTTTTTGTTTCTTTTGAAGAAGTTCGAAATAATCTTGTTTTGTTGTCGGATTTAACTATTTTTGGTCCTAGTATCGTTGAAATATATGATATTTGTTTTTGAGGACAAATGTTTTTATTGACTTTAAGAAAGTGTAACCAGCTTTTTCCGGAAGAACAATGATGTTTCTCACTCTAATATAGTTGTCTAATGTATGAGTACGTTCACAACGTCATTCATGTTTGGGTTATGTTAATAATTTAGATGCCTACGTTTTTTTGGGATTGCCGATTCAATTGTTTGTTTGTGAAATCGATCGATTTTTTTCCTAATTTAAATTTTGGTTGTTTAGTGCAGAGTCAAAAATTAATGAGTTTTTGGGTCAAATCATGAGAATTAGTGTGCAAACGTAACGTGTAGAGGTGTTAACAAGACCAATAGCCCGCGGGTTTTGTCTAAGTAGCCCACGGCGGGGCGGATTTAGACATCATTTTTCATGTCCATAAAATAGTGGGCTTCGCGGATAAGCCCAGGCGGATTGCGGGTTTTGTCCGCGGATTTGCGGGTCGGTACGCGGACTACAAATATTTAATAAAAATAAATAATTAATATAAATAAATAAACACTTTTACATAATTATGAAAATATATATGTGAAATATATGAACATATAACGAAATCTAATGTATGAAATTATAAGATTTATAAAAAAATTAATACTAAAAGTTTTTTTTTAAAATTGAAAATTTGTTAATTTTAAATTTTAAAAATTAAATTTATTTTTTTTATTATTTTTAAAATATTAAAACTAAGCCCGTGGGCCGGCCCGCTAACCCGTTGGGCTTAGCGGGGTGGGCCTGGACATAATATTTATGCCCGCTGTCCTAGCGGGCCGGCCCGTCGCGGTCTCACAAACTTAAATGCCCATCGCGGGCCGGCCCAGATGGACGCGGACCGGCCCGTCCGACACCTCTACAAACGTGTACTAACGATTTATTTACATGATGATTGTTTTACAATACTTTTTTTTTTGCTAAGAAAGTAAATATTTCATAAAATGAAAAATTGTTAGGAATACAATCAAAGATCATAGACCTAGGCAATGGTCCATGGCAAAAAAGATAAAAACATGGAAGCATATAAACACACTTTCAGTCCATCGACTCGATGCTAACACTAAGCTAACATGGATTTTGAAGTTCTTCCAATTGAGTTACAGAAGACAAAAGACAAAAGACGACAAAGCAACTTGTAAAACGCCGAACTTCGCAAACGTCTAGCACTAGAAACCTTTCACAAGCGGCCCGAGACTGAGCCGTTAACGGCATAGTTCTCAATACCCTCGATCACATAATGCTCCCAGGTCATGTGAGAGCAGCACTTCGAACACAAATCCATGAGCTTTCTCCAAGCAGAACCACACAACCAAAATAGCGAAAGGTGTGAGCTCTCTCTGCCAGGCTATTGGGCGATAGGTGTGGTTTCTCATTGTATTATCTTGTTTTACAATACTAGTGAGGTTTCTTCTTGGTAAAGTTATGATAAGGTTCTTCATGGAGCAAAGATAGTTCCTAAGTTTCACATTTGTTTCTACAGATTTTATTTTGAAGGAAAATTTCTTACGTTTTCATTCTAGAGAAGTACATACTTTGCATGCATGTTTTGGCAAACTGGTAAGAAAGATTGCAAAATTTTCTTCCTCTATTTCAAAGTATACATGTAATGTACACACGTAACGTCTAAAACTATTATCGTAATCTGTTTGCAGTTTGCCAAAACATGCAAACATATTTCTCTCTTATTTTTGACAAACGACGCAATTTTAACAAATGGTGCGGAGGATTTAACGTCGAATTCTTTCCCCAAAAAAAAACGAAAATCTGCAGTTGGGATTAATCGGATTGACTTTATTTGAAACCACCAATATTTCAGTAGTATAAAGATTTATGCTTCTATTTGGACCACACAGCATCAATTCCTACGAAAACTCCAAACATATAAGGCCTTTATTTAGAAAATATGATCGTCAACATCTAACATAGGACGATCTATATTAATGATGAATACAAAAAAGGGAAAATATTTCTCAGCTACGCCAACAATACGTCATTACATCGTCACACATGCAGACAAAGAAAATGTTGCGATAGCTACACCAACTATTGTAATCACATAACGACATGCATGAACTAACATGAGTCATGGTGCCGACACCATCACTACAGAAAAACGTGTGGATAGCATCACTTATTTTCTAAACTTACATCGGTTATCGAATGATACAATTGAGTTAGCATCACTTATATAATTGATATCAAAAGTGGCGATGCAAATTAATGCATCGGTTATAGCAACCGATAGAAACATTTCCATCAATTATATCGAATGATACTACAATACGTCAGTTATAAGAAATGATGTAAATATTGCGACGACTACAATAACCGATGTAAATATTTACTAACAGTTTTAATAATTGATGTAAATAATTTGCGTCTATTTTCAAAAGTGATGGTAAATGTGTGTCAGTTAAAATATGTGATATTAATAGTGACATCAGTTCGTATAACGATGAAATAAATTGTATCAGTTTATCACAACTGATATTAACTTTTGTGACGCTTATAAAAAATAATAAAAAAATATTTATGTCACTTGTTGTAATTGATTCTAACAAATTGTTGTTGTATCACTTTATATGGTCATTGTTAATGGTTATGCATCACTTCTACAATCGAAGTAATACTTCTTTTTTAATTTTATAAGAAACTTTTTTTTTGTAAATAATAAATAAAATCTATTAAATACTTGATAAAATAAAAATGCATCATATATAAAACTATTAATCTTGAGATCCATTAACATCGACTAGATATGGACCACGCTACTAAGCTTGAGATAGCCCATTGCTTATTCCATAGGAACAAAATATCTAATCTTGGCCGACAACAAACACGTCTTTGAGTTGAGCCAAAGATAATAAGAGATTTGTGTAAAAACATTATTGTATTAATGTTACTTTCTTTGAGACCACAATATATAGGCGAACTGGCGAAGGGTACAATAGAGGTATAGGATTTGATAGTTACATATTAAACATTTGCATATATGAATTCCTTAATACACATTATTGTGAATTAGGGTGAAACCTAGCTATATAACTAAAAAAAAAACATAACAAAAAAGTATGAGACCTTTGACCGAATATAGTTTAAGTTTTAACTAGTCCGACCCAAGTGGATAGGGTAGAGGTGCATGGGCTAAACTTATACAAAAAGCTCAGTGTTTTTAAAAATATTTAAAAGAAGGCCAAAAAAATATTTAGTGTGAATTAGGACCCAAAATAACAAAAGTTGTAGCGTATATTTGATGAAAACCCCATAGAAAAACATAAGTTTTAGTTAGGGACCCAAAAAGAAACTTTGGCCCTAAGGTTCCTATTTGTCATTTGTTGGCCGGAGCTATCTCTAGTGTTTTTCTAATTAACAGTGTGAATTATAATTACAAATCTTTAGGCACACTATATAGACATCTGATACCACTAAAAATAGAAATTTAAGAAAATTTTATAAACCTATAATACGTATACTGTACATAGACATGTTAATCGGGATGCCTGGCTCAGTGTAATCCGAGATCAGTAAGACTCGCATA